TCATCACCACCCACCGCCAACTCTTGGGCTACTCTTTTACCAACGAATAGTGGGATTGACCGTCACATTATAACGCCCCCACGGCTGAAAGGGCGAGCATGTTTGGTGTGACGGGGATTCGAACCCGCGACCCTCAGATTGCGAGACGAGTGCCTTAACCACCTGGCCATGCCGGGCCCAAGGGAAAGAAAAATACCATCTTCTGACATACACATTGTGAAGCAGTCGGATACTTTTGAGGGAATTTTATGATTGCTTCAGTATTTTTATCGTTTTAAAAGAGTTTAAGAAAGAAGTTATAAGAAGTTTTCTGAGTGAACATATACATGAAGTAAAAGACGCCTGTGTTACGAAATGAGCTAGAAAAATACAGTTAGATTCTTCAGTGATACTGAGAATCATGAGTTAAGGGTTATAAAAAAAAATTAAGCTACAACAGCGACGCCGAGAAAAACGTTGGTCATGAGTTTCACAGTGACACCGAGTTAAGAGTACAGTAAGGGCTACTAAACAGTTTATGATAGCATCTCATATCGATGCTATGATGTTAGATCTGTTACTCCAGACCAGTGTAGTAGTAGTACAAGTAAAAAGGCAACCGGAGCTCTCACCATCACAGTAACAATTGCTTGAAAGTTTTGGTTCTTGTTTTGAAACAACCCGGCAAGTTGCACAGTTTGACCAATAAAGTGTTATAACTACCTGCGGGTAGTTAGGAATACTATTTGGGAAGTCAAAAGAATGCAAAGAAAATATGATTTAAAAACTCGTGCCCAGAGCTAAAAATCAGTTCTCTCCAGGAAGAATTGAGGTTCTCCTCAGAGTTGCTGATAATCCAGAAACTATGAACATGAAGGTCCAACCAGCTGTAATGTCTAACCAGGCCATCCATGTTGTAAGTAGGCCCGGCTTGGCCAGGTGGTTAAGGCACTCGACTCGCAATCTGAGGGTCGCGGGTTCGAATCCCCGTCACACCAAACATGCTCGCCCTTTTAGCCGTGGGGGCATTATAATGTGACGGTCAATCCCACTATTCGTTGGTAAAAGAGTAGCCCAAGAGATGGCGTTGGGTGGTGATGACTAGCTGCCTTCCCTCTAGTCTTACACTGCTAAATTAGGGACGGCTAGCGCAGATAGCCCTCGTGTAGCTTTGCGCGAAATTCAAAAACAAACAAACAATGTTGTAAGTAATCAAACTATTTCTGTCTTAGTTAATCAATGTAATATTAATTAATTATTAATGGATTATAAAGAATATGAAGAATATAAAGAACTATGTTATGTTTGAGTTATAATTATCAGTGTTGTTTAACCTTAAAGGGTCTTTTATGAAGAGTTAGCAAATGATTAAAGCCTTACTAAAGTGTATTTTATGTAAAAACGAACTTGAATAAACTTGATCTATTGTGTTAAATATCAGTCGCTGGATCCGTTTCTTTGGTGTAATCATATGTCTCCTCGAGTTAGCAACTGTGAGCTCCACTCGCCACTACAATGCTCAATTAAATACATTTAGTGCAATCGGCAGTACAGTCGAAGGTCCAACGACTAGCCCTAGGAGCGCTGTCCATTACAATTGGAATTGGAAATTAACCTTCCTTTTTCAAGCTCCACAATTTTAGCAATAGCTATGCGGGAAAATTAGTTTGGAACCATCACTGTGTGCTTCTGAAACTCTGCGCAAAACATGAAACTCGGGCATTTTCAACATACTGTCTGAGCTTCTCTTTGAATGAGGATCTGTGGCTTGTGAATGATGGGGGAACAGGACAGTTTGTTTCTGTGCAAAGCCGACAATATGTTATCCAAACATCAGAAAAATCCAAAATGTGGCCCTTTTCTGCAGAATGCTCAACATCATCACATAGCCATGCCATATCAACGTTACATTCCTCAGCAGTTGTCTGTAATTTTGATGTTTTCCTCAAGAAGAGAGAATCGAACTTCTTATGATTCTTGCCCTCTGCATCAGTTAGATCACTAGAATCTGCTAGTGCTATGCTCAGTATTTGATCATATTTGGAAGCATCCATAATCTTCTTGCTCATACTGAATGATGCAAATATGATGGAAAGGCTCCTTCGTAGCAATTTTGACAAAACAAACAAAGGTCAAAATTCAATAGATTTGATGAGCTCCTCAGCTTCACCTGGCCTTTGCTGTTGGAGCTACACGATGGCTCTGATTCTGATGCTTCGAGTCTCGCAATTCTGTCTTTATCCGTGAGCCAGGAATAGCCAGTTTTACGCCAGTTCAATGAATCTTCTGAGGAGATATTTAAAATGTTTCCAACGATAAGTGTGTTTCTATTATATTTCAGTTTATGTCGCTGGGTAGCAAATTCTTTGAGTGTCCTCATTCCTCATGCCCTCTGCCATTGATTAACTTATCTTTTCTAGGCTAGTAATTGGTTCCATGATTACTCACTACACCTGCCACCAACTCATTAGCATACTTAGCTTCACCCAAACCACATAAATTCTACTTCACGAGGAAAACCTAACACGGCAAAAGAAAAAGAAAAAAATACAGCCTCACTGTGATCATTTTAAAAATAAAGAACAAAATGTCAAAAAAGGGGGACTGTTGGTGATTTTGCCTGCATAACAAGGAAACCCGAGACAGGAAAATACACTGGGCAATAATATTTATAAGCTCGGGTTCAATGAACTCTTATTTCACGACATGCGCAATAAAAAATGAACATTATCATACAAATTACAGCAATGTTATACTTATAGTCAAAATTAGTGTCCCTTATGGCCCACCGTAGAAAAAAGAATTCTCAGAAATACACTTCACTAGAATAACCTATTATCACTCGCTTAAGAAGGTAAATATCAGAAGTAGATTTCCTTAATAAGTTGTTTCTTTGTGATATTTATGACCTGGGAGACAACATAAAATAGATTTTACAAGTTCCAGTAATGGATATCAATCATTTACCTCTGAATAATTCATCTTTCTTCAATTCATACTTCTACTACGTCACATGCTGTTCAGAAACACATAAAACCTCACTACTGTGGCCACTAAGGGCCACACTCAGTAGCGTGGAGTCAAGTCATAGCATATATTGATTTATAATTGTTTATTTCCTTAAAAAAATCCCCCTAGTGGCACAGCGGTAAGTCTGCGGACTTACAACGCTAGAATCCTGGTTTCGATACCCGTGGTAGGCAGAGCACAGATAGCCCATTGTGTAGCTTTGTGCATAATTAAAAACAAACAAACAAACAAACTCCCCAGTGGCACAGCGGTACGTCTGCGGACTTACAACGCTAGAATCCGGGTTTCGATACCCGTGGTAGGCAGAGCACAGATAGCCCATTGTGTAGCTTTGTTCTCCCAGTGGTACAACGGTATGTCTGCGGACTTACAACGCTAGAATCCGGGTTTCGATACCCGTGGTAGGCAGAGCACAGATAGCCCATTGTGTAGCTATGTGCATAACTACAAACAAACAAACTGATCCTCTATACACTTGAAAGACAAGACGAGGAATACCTACATTTACAAGTTTTGTTGAGTTTCACACAAGGCTACTCGAGGACTACCTGCGTTAGCTGTCTTCAGTTTTGAAGTGCCAGACTAGAGGAAAAGCAGTCATCAACATCACCCTCCGTCAACTCTTTACCATCTACAAATGGGATTGACCACCACTATATAACGACTGATAGTGTGAACATGTTCGGCGACGAGATTCGAACCCGCGTTCATCAGATTGAAAGTTCAGTGTCCTAACCGCCAGGCCACATTAAGAAGGGAAAAAAATGTCAACACTTCTGTAATCTGTTATTAATATTTAAAAAAAATAAGCTTGAAACCCAAGAGGATAAATTGTTTATTAAAAACAAGGAATAGACTGACAGTGAACTCCTTCGTAACAAGTCCATTGTCGACATAATAACTTTACAAGAGAAAACAACAACAACAGAAAAGTTGCTCCTTTCATCGGGAACAACAAACAACCAACTAGCGAAACAACAGCGCTCGGATTAATACATAGGATTAGGAACATCTTCTTTTTTTCTTATTTTTAACTGGGGAAGGGGAGGGGGAATTAACAACAGTAAGAGGCGCCATCTGGTGAACATTATTAACTCTTGCATTCTAATTTCAGCAGGACAGTTCACATTTAAACGATATATTATTACATTATTTCTATTCAAAGGAGAAATGCAACAAAGATAGAACAGTTAACAACGTAACTACACCTTGCTACCCAGAGTATCTGTATCGGAAAGATGTTGTATAGAAATAAAATTAATTGAGGCAGTTTTCTTCTTCTTTTTTTTTTCTTCTTTGGCTTGGTTACAGTAGTTCAGATCATCCCCTACTGGCACAAAACGGCTAATATGTAAATTGCAAACTCTGGTTAAAATTCATCGACCAACAGGCCACGATGCAATCTTCTGTGACATCGTTCTTCCTTCATCATCATCATCATCTATTGTTGTTTGACTGTTTTTCCCACTAGTGCTTGAATCACTGCTTCTGTCACCTAGTGGCGAAGCAAAGAAATACAAGAAATTATTAAAAAATAATACTTTTATGAATTTATTTATTTATAACATAAACTGTAGGTGTGTTTTATTATTTCATATCCGAAATAATCAAATTAAGAGGAGTGTGAAAAAAAAAACACTTCTTCAGTTAAATGATTTATATCAAAAACGTTAGGCCTATCTTTTTTTTTGCAATATTTCGACAGTTTTAGATGTGTAAATCTAACTATTTGTTCAATATAAGTAGTGGTCGTTTCAGATCCAGGAACAAAGAATAAGACAGTTTTAAAAAGTTGCTATTTCTTTCCTCTGGTAAGAAATTAAACTCTTGAAAATGGAATCATTCATACACGGCCTCATCGTAAAAACTAATAAATACATTCTGTCCACGGTTCTAATTATAAATAATTTATATTATAGTTTGAATATATATATCCCCAAAGAAGATATATTATATTGCTAACTAGTGGTTTGAGCTGATAGTGCTAAATCAATTTGGTATCGCTAATATTTTCTCTTATTTCTCGAGTGCAAAATAGGCCTAACGTGAGTTAAGCCTATTTGGACTACGCAAATGCATGGCAGTACTCTTACAGATACTTTATTCTGTATATTATAAATTCTGATGCTTTCTTTTGTTATGTCCCCTAGTGGCTTAGCGCAAAGTGTGAGGGCTTCAAACAAGAGATAATAAAGTTTTGATAGTACAGATAGATCATCATATAACTTTGTGTAACCATTTTGTGTAAATAGTAAATAGCACGTTATTATATCTTATTATTCCTAATAAAATGAGTAATTTTGCTAATATGTTTATATCTAAATGTTTGTCCTGTTATTTAAGATGCATGTAAGTGAAGATATGGGATTATTAGTTTATTAGGCACTAATGGGTTTTTCATTAATTCATTTCCACATGTTTGTCGAGGTTGTTTAATTACTAGTAGTTTGGTAATTTGAATTGTTAAAGTTGTGCCTTACTAGCAATTGTGGTGATGAAGATCGACTCGTGGATTCGAATACCACCACCGAATGTGCTCGCTCTTTCAGCCGTGGGGGCATTATAATGTGACAGTCAAGCCCACTTTTAGCTGGTAAAAAGTAGCCCAACAGTTGGCGATAGGTGCTGTTGACTAGTTGTTTTCCTCTAGTCTATCACTTCTAAATTAGGAACGACTAGAACAAATAGCCCTTTGCGCGAAATTCAACAGATAAATATTAGCAACCACTATGGGGTTGGTACAGTATTAGCTAGGTGTCCGAGAAATCTCGGGTTCGAATCCAAGCCGATTAAGTAACAAAAAAAATCAAATTAACAAAGTCGTAAATACGAGTTAAATTTTATAATATTTAACTTTTTAAGAAATCTTGCAAATCTCGCTGAATGTTGTTTTTACAGTCGTGCTGCAAGGTACTGCCGGTTAAACAGTTTTACAGGCGAATCAAAACTCATTATGTTAGGATTCTTCGATCGTTCCACTTATACGTAGTTTCTTTTCCTTTCCTCTTTTAGGTTCAGATGTTCCCCAAAATTAAACATTCAAGACAATGATGTGACTGTTACTTATTGAACGTTTTTCTTTGTTGTTCCTAAATTTTATTTTATTTTTTTCGAATATTCTCGCCAAAAATGGCAAATCAAAATAACTAAAACTACAAGTGTCTGGCGAAAAGCTTCAGCAGATATTTCCTTTGCAACATCTCAACCAATAATTGGTCC